AAAGTGGCAAGAACTGATTTTTCTAATGTACCTGCAACAAGTACTTGCTCCTCCAATGACTAGTGAAATCCACTTTGTAACTAGGTTAATCTTACCCAGCTATACATGTTCTTCTGCTAGAATATGAGCCTCTATGTACACAGGGTGTTATTCTGTACCAGGTGCTCTGCTTTGAGCTCACAGCCAGCCTTGGATCAGATTGTTTTTGCCAGGCCAGCAAGAGTCAATGCTGCCTGGGCACTGTGAGCTGGGAAGCATCCACCCCTGCCCAGTAGTCCATTCTTAAACCTTTAGAGCTGTTCCTAATGTAATTCAGTGCCCAGATTAGCCAGTGAAGCAGCGTGGTGAAGGGGATGTGGGCCTAGAGCTGCCTCTTTAAAACATACTCCACTGGATTCAGCCTTGGAAGAGGAGATTCTCAAAGCAGTGCCAAAGGGCAAATTTTAAAGTAGCTTTAAATAAGACCTCCTAAGGCTCAGGAGCTTAAAGAATTTCAATAACCCAGATTCTTTTTTCCCCTTCCTTTCTTTCCTTTTCTGTTTTTTTAAAGGAGATGTTGATTGCCAGGCAGGTTTTCCCAAGAACCCACAACCTCAACTAATCACAAGCACTTCAGCCCTGCAAAATAATATTTCCCTTACACAGGCTACTATAAAAACAAGTTCTGCACAGTAGGCAAATTTAAAATAACTTTTAATTAACATTTAAGACACAGAAGTCTGATCATGCAAATTCATCTGCGTCTCCTCTCGGCGCCTGATTGTTCCTGATTGAATACGATAAAAATAGACTTTGTATGAGCCAAGTGTAGGCATGGATTTCTTTCACTTCTCCTCCCCTCTGATTATGAATTTCCTTAGGTAAAGTGGAAACCCCTGGATGGCCATTAACAGTACCATGGGTCAGCCTGGAAAAAGCATCCTACCTGATACGAGTTCACTGGAATTAAAGGCATTCCTTCTGTGAGCAAAAAAGATGCTCCCACATTACACAAAATCTCACCCGACACTATCCAGCATTGTCTCAGCTGACTTTTAATCTCTGAAATACTAATTTCACTGCACCCCCCTGTATCTGAGATGAGCATCTGGCCAGAGGCTCAGCTACAGATCTGTATTAACACAGAGAGAATGCAACTCGCCTGCACATGAGAGATAAATATTTGAAGGGAGGCTGAGGAATTTCCACATAATTAAAACACGTCAGAGGGCATGACCCTGTTAGGAGGAACAAGGGCTCTGTATGAGGGAGGACACACTGATACCAGTTCCATTATCTTGTAACAGGAATGGAGCCGGTTTCCCCAATAAAGCTTCCTACAAAGCTGTTGTAACACAGCCCTGTCAAAATGTCACTATGTTACACCAGTAAGCAACAATGTCACATGAAGAACACAATGCAAAGAGCACGTTGAAATCCCTTAGCTGTCCACAACAGTGTTCTCTGGGTCACGGTCCTGGACTAAATCATTACAATTGCCCAGAATAGCAGCCTACGATGCTAACAGCGTTTCACAGGATGCTCCACTCTCCTGATGCAGATTTGATTGCTTTCTGATCTGGGACTCATGGATCCCTTGTGAAAGAGAGAGATTTCCTCACTGTTAGCTCTCTGATGCTTTTCAGCATGGACAGAAAGCATCATAGGTAAGAAAACATTCACCATCACAATAAACAGAGCTGGAAAGGATTACAGGAGATCACCCTCACCGTGCCCCAGCACCTCACAGTTCAACGCAGGTAGTCCTGGTTGTGACTTCCAGGACTGGTCAATGCCCCTTGCTGATGGAGACTGCACTCAAGTTAACAGCTGGCTTTAGTTTAAAATTGCTTTCACTTTGAGACTGTGATTCCTCCCACCTCCCCGTATAATTTCAGTTGGGGCTGTTTCGTCCCCTGCTGTTGTGCAGGATCTTCCCCCAGCCTTTCCAGTGATGTTCTAGAGGGTGTGAAATCCACATCAATCTATTTTCACGTAAGCAAGCAATCTTTCTGGAGTTTTACTGGAGTATCTTCTATTTGTACACTTAAGGACCTTCTGTGTCACTTTATTGCTCTTTTTCCACTTGTTATCTAGCACTACACTTGATCACAGCCCATCTGGTATTTTGGATGTCCATTAGCTAAGACACCTCCACTGGTTACCCTGTGAACGTGGCATTTTGGCACTTGTGTGCCTGTGTCTAAACTTTCACATGGTCTGTGCATGCAGGTCTCTTCTCCCCCTGCACAGCGTGCTCAGCTGCAGACGTGACCTGACTTCCTTGGCCATCCCAGTGGCTGTTTTCTTCTCTCCCGTCCTGTTGTTAAATTTTACACAGCAACATTAATTCCTGCTGCTGAATCCATGAGCTGTGACACCAGCATGATGCAGTGTCCGCCTGAGCTACATTCTTACCCAGAAACGATTAAGTCTAAAACCACCCTGGGTGAATGACAGGTAATTTAGGAGCACTACAGGGTGGGCCTTTGTATGTGTCTATGCTGAATACGGTTCCTCGAGTTCCTTTCGTCTGGCAGCTTTCCAAGAGCAAACCACAGTTTCAGTTATTCAGCCTATTTTGTTTTTACAACAGCATCTCAATACACAAGTATTCAAAATATAGATATCCCATGTCTCTCCAAACAGTCCCCAGTCTTAAAAGAGACCATGGGTTTTCTTACCCTCTGAGGAGCTGTGGATTTCCTGCAAAGAGATTTCTGCTGGTTTTTAGAGGTGCTAAAATGCAGATCAGCCTATTTGAGGACAGCGAGGAGATTCAGCTCAGGTTTATAGAGACAGCCTGATACTGTTCTCTCTGTCAGTCAGGGGAAAACCATATTATACTTTCATACTCATGTGAAATACATCCTGCCTATACCAGGGAATATATCAAAGATATTTGTTTCCAAAGAATCAGAAAATGTAACTGTAAAACACCACTGGTTTTCAAATCTTTATAAAGTCTCGTGTTCTACTGTATAAAGCCCTTTGGTTCTCGAAAAATCCTCAATGATTGAAATTACATAAATAATGCTACACATCAACCCTGCTTAGAAGAAGAATAGCGTTTTCTAATCCATTTAACACAATCCTATGGGTAATTCTCTTAATGGTTTTTATTCCTTCCACGTGTAACAGAGACATTAAATACTCGGGATTCACCTTAAAGGAAATTTCCATTATCTCACCTGCATCAGATTCAGCTTTGGAAAGTGTTTTGGAAAGGCATTAAAATTCATCACATCGGGAGGGACACTGCCTACCAGAAGGTACTGATGTGCAGGTGTGACTACCCCGACACACTCATCCTGCTACCCAAAGCCTCAGCTCCGGACTTGTGCTTGGAAAAGATCAGGCAACCTGGGTCATCTGGAACAACCTGTGCTTGAATGACATGGCCACTAGATGTCATTCCTTTTTCACTCAAATGCAAGTTAAAGTAGTATTTACCTGGCAGAATAAGGTCCCCCTGCAAACACTAGGAAGCTGGAGTATGCTTATTGCCGTGGTGAAGAGTCCCATGGCCTGAGAGACACAAAGCTCTAACACTGGACGCTACAAAACTTCCCAGAGAACAATCCCATGCTGGAAGGAGAAAGGAGCACACGCCCCAAGACTTCTATCAGATTTTTACGGCTCTTCACAACTGTATGCATCACACTTAAGAAGATATTCAATGATAACTTTTCAACACAAAGCTCGGTGTGTTCACTATGACAGGTATAAAAAGCATGTCAACCCACCCTATGCACAGGCTGCAGATAGACACCCAGATCTGAAAAACAGCTGGGTCCCCGTTTTTTCTCTGGTTCAGGAAGAACTTAGTGGAATCTAGTCACTTAGTCAGAAAATTCTGGCACTGCTCAGGAGCTGAGCACATCACATCCATGAGCACAGGACCCAATAGCAATGGGAGGGAAGGACCCAGACTCCACAGCTGGCACAGGGCACACCTGAGTCCACGGTGGCATAAACTGGGCTCTGCATGACTGCCTTGAGTTCCGCTACGTATTTATAGTTTGTAAGGGGAAATTTCAGTATTTTGTTAATAAGTATTTGCAGACCCTCTAAGGTGGAATGAAAATTCAGAATAATACAAATAATAAAAGGATTCCTCAAAGGATGCTCAGTGACTTGAGCACTACACAGTCAGACTTGCCATATTTTTAAAGATTTGGTATCAGTTTAAGATACATCATTTATTGCTCCTTGTAGACCCTCATATGAATATAGACAGTGGATTTCTCATTTATTAGCAATTTTAGAAACCTCAGAGCAGTAGAGGTCTACATGCTATGCACATTTCAGATGGTCTGTGTCTTATCAGAAGGCTGGAAAGAACCAGAGCCTATCATTTCAACTTCCAATTCTTCATTTTTACCTCAACCAGCTTTAAAAAGCTGTCATTTGCAGTCTATTTTTTCCCCATTGTCCCCCAGTAATAGCAACTGGGAGCAGATGAGGACATAATAAAGAAATACTGTGCTAATATAAGAAAGACCTTTAACTGATTAAAACCAGATGTACTGAAGAATGTCTACACATTTACTGCCAGCACACACAGATACATCTGTTAGAGCTGTCAATGAAGTACAGATTTTACTGGATACCTGTTACCATATAGAATATTTACTGCTTCCTTGAAATCATATTCAAGATAGTAAACCTAAAATATCTCTTACTGCTCAGGATTTCACTACAAGTAATAATAACTCTGATATGCCTATAGCCAGTTGTTGTGTAACAACTGTATCCTCTTTGGTGTATTTGGACATCCTCTGTTTACCACGTTATTGCAGCTTCTTTACTACCTTAGCAAAACTGGTCACCAAATTGTTTTGCTAGTTCATGAACCATCTTATCTTCCCCCTTTTTCCGCCTGAAAGTCTTTGTTCCACGGTTATCTATCACATTCTTCCTATCTGCCAAACCAGCTAAGAGAGATGAAGGATATAAACATCCATGAATTACAAGCATTATGTGTCCATGCATCATGGTGCTGATGTATCAATACTTACAGTGCTTGTAGTGAATTCGGGTGGGTTGTCATTCACATCTGTCACTGTAATGATTGCTGTTGCCGTGTTTGAGAGACCGTAGTTAAGATTTCCTTCCATATCTGTGGCTTGAACAATGACTATATACTGCTGAACTTTCTGGAAAATGAAAAGAAAAAGATTAGAAATAAAAATGCATCCTGTAAAATGCTTTAGTTTATTTTCCACGTACAAGTGCAATCTTTACGCACACTAAGAAGTTAATCAGATTCCAGATCTTAGTAAAAAAAACCCAGATATTATTGTCTGGGTTTTTGAAGGTATTTTTACAGAGATTGGTGGATAGCACCCACTTTATGGGAAAATAAACATCTTACGGGCAAAATTCCTTGGTCAGACCAGACATTTTTGTTAGTTTTTAAGCATTTTCAGCAACATTAGCTTCTGCCGTCTGAAAACCAGTAAAAATTTTGCTAATGTGTTTTCATTGAAAACATCACTAAGAACATTACACTCCCAAAATTGACAGCAACATTACGTGGCAGCTCTCCAGCTCGTTCTGCTCACACAGTTCGATGCCCACGAAGCATTCTGATACTTAAAATACTCCCCATGTTTCAATCCTTAACACAATCTTGGTAAATAAGGAGAATTTTAGTCCAGTATGAAAAATAAAAAATAAAATATTCAGTGCAATAAAGAGAAATTCAGCAGAACTGATTCAAATTCCTGAGCACCCCAAGCAACCTGGCTCTTAAAGAAAAAGCCTTACAGAGCCAGCCATAAAAATCACCCATTAAAGATCTTCTAAAAGACACTGTGTCAATGTGACTGGAAAACAGACCTGAATAAAACAGAGGGCATCTGAGCTTGCATGTGTGTACATCTCCCTAGGATGTCTCTTTACTTTGGAATATCTGCCCACTCCACAAAAAGCCTTCTCATCTTTAAAACTGGCCTCAACAAGAACCGTTTCATTTGGATCAGCAGAATTTACTATTGATGCCTACTTGTGTCTTGCTCAGGGTATGCAGAGCACTTCCCAGGTGGGTATGAAAGCAAAGATCCTCTCCTGAAATACAGGCAGAGTGATGTGCCAAGAACCAGGGAGGGATACAACAAAATCAGTGTGACTCAGAGCAAAACTACACATTACACTCTCTTCCTTAAGGTTTAAGGTGTAATTACAGATGTGAGCTGGGGTGCAAGGAGCAAGCAGATCTGAGGGCACATCAGAGAGCCTGAAGGGTGTGAAGAACCAAACCGAGGCACAACGTTATGCAGGAAAAGTTTTTTGCAAAGCCAAGTGGAGGGACTTTGCTGTGAGGACAGACTGCCTCGATGCTGGATTGTTCCTGCTCTCAGAACACAGCTTAGGCTCTCGAGGGCTGCTCCTTTCCTATGCTGATGTTACAAGCCTGGATAAAATGTCAAACGTCCTTTGAAATCTCCAAAGGCAAGAATCAGGTCTATTAGGTCTCTCCACTCCTATATAAACATTACTGAGGTGCTGTAATTGGCTTAATACTATAATTCTTCCAAGTTGCTAGAATAACAGAGATCTGAATTTCAACTTTACCTTGATTCCAGGACTTAACTGACAGATATTAACCTGCTAAATTGACAACCCATCACATACAGGGATCCATCAGCAACTTGCAACTGGAATATATTATGGAAATGCACTTCCATTATCTCTTGCCACCTTGTACAATAGAACATGAGGGAGAAACTATTGTTAGCCTTTGGTTTTCCTCACACAAAGGGTTGCTGTTCATTACTACGTTCGTAAAGCACTGGGTAATTGAAAAACAGAAATGTCCTTACTAGTGAGTGTAATTTCTATTTCATATTTCGCTTTTCCTTTCGTATTCTCTCTTACAGTCAACATGGGAGGCTGACAGAAGTATTCTCTAACAGGCCAAACCCTTGTGAGCCAAATTAGGTTTAAATCTTAGAAGAGGGGGGGAAATGTTTAAAAAAAGAAAACAAAACCAGGAGCTATCAGATCCCACATAAATGAGAAAATCAGGTCAGAGGCCCACATGAGAGATTCTATTTCAACAGTGCATTTAGATGGCAAAGCCATCTCTAACGTTGCTCACCGCAGTGAGATGGAGACACGTAATTCCCAGTGTTTCTGATGTGATGGCACAGCTGTAACACGTTCGTTATTGTAAGAGCTTCAGTACTTCAGCAGCAACTGCAGGAAAAAAATATGTTCCTTCCTTCCCATCAGCTGAGAGAGCGATAAAACAGCTTCCATTGACAGGGGTGTTTCTGTTTTAGGATTTTTTTCCCCTGCTTTTTGGTGGTTTTCTATTTCACAGCTCACGGATGTGTCCACCGGAGCGAGCTGGGACCATCACGGCAGTGCGCCTCCGGAAAGGGGATGGCAAAGGCAGCTCTGCTTCTGTGCCAGAAGTGATTCCACAGCTCGTGACAGCGTTATCTGAACTCTGAGAACAAGCTGCAGACTGTGGGTAAGGTCACACTCTGTCTGCACTGCACTTTTTCATACCATGACCCAGCCTCTAAACTCCCACTGCCTTCAGCTCCTTTATTCACTTCTCAACCAAAGCATCCCCTGCAAAAATGTATTCTCTCATACAAGAGGGGGTAAGGGACTAGAAAGTCTCATTTAAAAGCTTTGTTAACTTCACAATTTTACTGCTTATTAGATTATACATACTCCGATGACACACACATCTGTGTGTGTGCACACTCACAGACACTGTCTTATTAATCTCAGGTTTACAATAAGGTTCTTTTATTTAATAAAACACCTTTCCTTGAGCATCACAGCAGTGTTAATAAAACCCCACACAAATTCAGAATGATAAATTAAAGTTAAAAGAAAGATTTTATCAATCACATAATACAATGCCAAAAAACAAAATGTCCAGAATTTAGTGATGTACGAATATACCAGCCACAAAGAGCATAAGGATGGGATGAAAGGAAGGATGGCAAAGGAGCATTGCACGCATGCAAGCCCAATCCTAGTGTGAAAATACAAGGAATTATAGGAGATCTCAAATGGATGGAGTGATCAGGTAGGATTTTTAGGGGAATGCACACATCTCAGATAGGTGCTGTACCTCTCAGGATACTGGAGGCAGCGGCAGCAATCAGGGACATATGAAAGGTGAGCTGGTGGTGCAAACTTAAGAGACATCACCAAAGTTGCACTGATTTCCATCTGCTGAACACACAGGTTGTGTTTAGAGCAAAAGTGCAATCTGTCATGGAGAATGGCCTTGATTGTACATAAAGTTGTACAAAACACAGACATGTAAATCATAGACATGTAAACCACGGAAACATTTAGGTCAAAAAGACTTCTAAGACCATCGAGTTCAACTGTAAACGTAAGACTGCCAAGTCCACCAAATAAAGTAGTCTTGAGATTTGTCAAACCTTTAGGCACTCAATTGGCACTCATGTCCAGCTCTGAAAGGCTCCTGTGCGGGCATGCAAGAGTGGTGCTTTTAAGTATTTAGTTTTAGTTTATAACTAATTCAATCTCCAGTGAGATTGGCCCCAGCAGATAAAAACTTAGCGATTTCTTTTGTTTTTTTTCCTGTAGCTAACCTTTTTGCTCTTGTGCATTAAGCTCATTTTATTGAACTATTCAATCAATTTCAACATGTCCTTCCAATTTGTCACAACATCTCCAGGGGCATCTTAGTTTGTTGTCCTAATATTATTAGTATTGTTACAACTATTAAAAAACAAAATAGGCAGCCACATGCCCCCAAGCACAAGAGACATTTTCTTGATGGCATTTTAATCATACAGAATAATTCTTATATTCTCTTTCTTTACAAAGATGACATTTTAGATAGCACAGGGCAGAAACAACAGCATTGCAGTAACATAAAATGGTCCTAACCCAGAGAAAGGAAATGGTTACTGTATGTTTGCTCTGATGGTGATGCTGTGGAACTAAAGAAACGAGCCTCTGCCCCAAGGGGTCCAGGCTAAAAACCCAGCCACAGTGAAGACCCTGGGAGGCCCAGTGGACAGTATTTTTAATAAATCTAACCAACTGTCACACTAGAAGAATGTAAATGTGCTGCTTAATCTCCATCTTGATAAGTGCAGAGCTTTTAGTCTGACCTAAAAGCTAAGAAGGGCCCTTGAAGGAAAAAATTAGGAAGGACAGAATAATTAAAGTAAGTGTGGCAGATCTAATCTGTCTGCTCTTCTGTCAATCATCTGATACACTGCCACAAAGAAATACATTGGCTAAATTCCAGAAGATGGGAATGAGTTGAAGAAATCAGTTAAGCTGATTAATAGGAAGTTGATCAAAAGCTTGGTGGAAAAAGAAGTGCCTTGTACAGGAAGAAGTAACAGGTTGGAAGAAAAGTAACCTGTCAAATAATAGAAACTAGATGTGTACAAAATACAAGAACACGCAGCAAGGGACTAGCAAGAAAACTCTTCTGGAAGCTGGTTTATCAGACACAAGCAAGGAGGACTGGCATCATGTCCCACCAGCTCCCTGCTGCTGAGCAGGTCACACGTACTTCTGGTGAATCCATAGTCTGCAGTATCAGCTTTGAAGATTAGGCAATATTAATTCCCTGTGCCAAGACTAAGGCCTCATCAGGATGCTGTGCACAGTCCAGGTCCCCTGTATTTGCTGCTAAGCAACCCAGATCTGACCAGATGCTGGCAGTGAAGAGCCCATCACAGGAGAAGAGCCTGAAAGAGCTTGGCTTGTTTAGTCTAGCCAAATGAAGGCTGATAGCAGATATGATTGCTGACTATAAATACATCAGGAGGATAAACACTAGGAAGTCAAAGGAGCAATTTAAACTAGAGGACAATGTTGACACAAGAACAAATGGGTCTAAACCGGCCATGAATAAAATTAGTCTGGAAATTAGTAGGTCCTTCACCACTGAAGGAGTGAGATGCTGGAGCAATCTAATACAGGGTCTGAGGAGCAAAAATGTTCAGAAGAATACATTAAATTAGGGATAAAATCCTTTTGGTCTAGGTAGAAATTATGACAAATTGAGCTAAATCAGAACTTGGATTGCTCAGCATTCACTGCGTACAAAAAACTTTTTAGGAAGAAAAAGAATAAAACCCCTTTCAGTACAAACACCACAACACGCCTGTGTGAAAATGGGTTAAGACTTAAC